CAAGATGATCATCTAGGCCCCAATACAATCCCAGTTATCCAATCATCCTCAGATCAGGATAACCCTAGGCTACGTATTAAAGTTACTGGTCACTTTACAGTCCATGCCAATGGACACAGAGAGAGTGACAGACAGAGATGCCGACAAGGGAAGCATGAAACAAGTCATAGCGGCCGCCAACTGGACGGTAGGGAGTCCTCAATGGTCCAGTTGAGTTTGGAAGCTGTGGTCCTATGCCTACCGCTCTATAACGAAGCATGGACCAAAATGTACGTATCCAATCAACTACCTTCATTTTCTTTTCTTTTTTTTAATTTTCTCTTCTCACCACCAAATGCTTTAAACCCGTTTATCAGAACCACATGAAATATATTATTAAGCAGTCGAAAACACTAAATAACAAAGCGGTTCCACCTTTTTGGTTTCTTGCATTCACTTTCCCCATCTGATCTACACCAAGCTAGCTATATGGTCCAAATCCAAACTCTCATTAGATGTTCGAGCTACCTTGTCAAGGATACTTTTTTGATTTATCTATTGAATGGAGAGAAAGGCTTTTGTCAAATGATCCATCCCATCCCAATATAACCTTATATACTCGTCTGGTTTATTACTATCATATATATTTCTCCATGAGCCCCACGTAGCCTATAGGGGGTGGGGAGACAGCAAAAGGGCTGCAAATGCTAAAGCTTAAAGAGGCATGAATCTTTATAAAAGCTAAACCATCTCGATGTTAACAAAGTGCTAAGAAAGGGGGTCCAATAATAATTAATCCAATCGGTTAGACATCATAGTCTGCTCCCCATGTCCTGCACATTTCTCTCCGATTCATGGATGTGTGCTAGCCTACCTAGCTAGGTACTGTTACACGCCTATATATAGTCTTTGTGTATCATCTATCTTCTTCTCTAATCTATCCGATCTATAAAGTTTAGTTCAACTTTGAATAAAATTCTAAGACGGCATTTGATTCTTGGTTATAGATTTGGCTTTTCAATTCCTAACCATGATTTTCAAGATCATTGACGGGAGCTTGTTCTTCCCTTTACTCGGAAACAACCGCTATATACTGTTAGATTGGAATTTGACCTACCTGGGGATATGAGTGCCCATACAAATTAAACAAAATTTCTCATAAAAACATTCACCGAAGTGTTCATTTGATTTCTTAAAAAAAAAAATAATGAAGATACAAGAAATTCAAAATTTAGCCCATATATATTAAAATTACTTGAGCCAACATCTAAAATGTTTAGTATTCTAGCTGATAAATATGACTGCCCAACAATTATTCCTTAATATGAAACATGTGTCTAGTTTTTGTTTCCACTCGTGTCTTTATAATCACATGTTTACGATAATATATTGGTAGCACACATGTTTGCTCATATATACAACAATATTGTACACATATCACTACGAATAGTTTTACACAGAAACATGAAATTAAATATTCTCATAATTCTATGCTTTTCATGTTATTAGAATTTAAACCTAAAAATTTGGTTTCAAATCCTAAAACTTATGGATGGTCTGTATTAATTTGGTTAACTTACAAAAAAAGATCACTGGTAGGAAAAGTATTGTTTTGTTTGAACCAGAACCATCAGTTTGTGACATTACATATGTCATCTAGCTAAAAATTAGGTAGAATTATGGACTAATTATAAAATGGAAGCCTTTGATAATCAGGATATACTAGAGGTTTGATTAGTGGCTACCATGTACTTGATCTGGCAGATAATAGTTGGCTCAATCTAATTTACAAGTTAACATAATTATCATCGTCTTTGATTCTTCCATGACAAAAAGGCTGCTATCTAAATTCACAAACTGTCCCACACCATCCATTCCCCGCCCCCGCAAATCGTTTGTATACATACTTGTATATTAACGACAGAAGGAAAGTAAAGGTGGGAGATGTATACCATTAGATTGTGTTGCGGCTCAGCTGGATATATGTGCTATTGTCTACATATATTTCACATGGCAACAAAGCATAAATAAAGACAATAGGTAAAATACAAAAAGTTAACTTACAAGAATTCCATTTTGATGTACAATATGATCATCACATGCTACATCAAACACATATATGTAGATAATAAAAAAAAATCCCTTTTTTTCATTCGTCCAAGTTAAAAAATATATTGATGCTATATGAGGCAAAGGGTTAACATTAATTAGGGCACATGCTAGCTAATCTTGGGAGATATGACATCAAGTGAACCTAAATTTTGGATTACTTCGTGGATTTTTTTTCTTTTATATAGTCCCTAATTTCCTCATTAAGATGAGATAATTAAGCACAAAATTTGGTCAATATGAAGGAATAAAATAGCACAATTATACATATAGCAAGTTGTCAAAAACATTTTGGCTTCTAATAAATATAGTAATTTTAAGAAGCATGCTTGATAGGAGAGGCACGCATGCAAGAGGGTTATTCTTCTAGGAAGTTGCTGCCTACGTAGCTCGCTAGAAACAGTACTCCAACCCCCCAAAAGCCTTATTACATGTGTCATAAATCATGATCATTAATTGAACATGGTTACCATGGGAAATGCTTCGTTTGGAGGGAATATATACAATAATAAATTATAGATATAAATAATAGGATGAAGGAGCATGGCTGGATGGATCAAAACCACAAGCGGTGAGGGGCGTTTTTGGACTTTCCGGGATGCGAGTTAGGGAGAGGAAATTAGGGGGAGGTAATTTGGCACCTTTTTTTTTTTTTTTTTGTAAAACTCAATTGAAATTCTAAATAGAATAATTAGTCAATGATAACAACAGATTCCAGCGTTGATTTGTTCAATTATTTCAAAAAAAAACTCCAACGTCAGGTGAGGTGACGGAAGCATCCCTCTCAAACCAATGAAAACCTCAGATTAACGAATTTGTACTCCATTAAATATATATTTACTATACTATCTCAATTAAGAATAGTGTCATGTGTTTTATATATATATATATATATATATGTATGTATGTATGTATATATATTTATGTTATGAATCCAAGTGGTAGAGTGAGCCAACACAAGACAGACATATTGTTTAGTATTACAAGATTTAATAGATTAATTAATAAACGAATTCTGATGATGTATGGCATGACGAAGAAAACCAATTGAATTCATAGATAATCTCGGTCCTTGTTATCATGCAAGGATTTCTTATCTGACTCAACATGCTGCATTAAAAAAAAAAAGGCATTGGAAAAGGATCCTTCAGCAAGGAATATTTTAGGCTTCATTTGTTTATTTTTTCAAAACAACGTGATGATACAATATAAAAAACCGATCATCCTAATGAAGTAGAAAATCAAACAGTGAATATTGCTGGGAAACTGAAGGATGGGGAGTGAGATTAATGGAAGGGAAGGCAGCTCAGACGAAAGAAATGTAGTAACTAGCAAGGCATATCCCTCCCTATCTGCGCAATTTGAGTAGGTGATCATCAATTTGCTCGATCGGCACTTCTGCCCCATTAGCCTCTACAATTGAAACAGCCTTGTCATTTTTTTTTTATCTGAACATATTATGACTTTAAAACGATTGGATTGCAGGCCTTATTATTTGTGAACCTATATAAAAAAAAAATAATGTTGCCATTGTTCCACAGCTCATACTTCTTAATCCAGTGGGTATACTGTCATTTCTTAACTAACCCTCATAATTCTGGAAAATAATTTAAAAAACCAAGAATTATCTACTACTTTGTACTAGATTTATAACAACAAATCTGTAATTTTCATGTATTAAATTTCCCTATTTTTACCATTTAAATATAATGCAGATTGTACACTGAATGGAAGTGGTACCTTCGTGCATACACCAATGTAAAGCATCCACCAGCTTTAATTGACATCTCTTCCTCTCATAATTTCCATGTCCTGGTGAAAACAGAGACAGTTTTTTATATTTTATAAATAAATTGAGAAGATACATTTTGCTTACATATTCAGTGTTGAGGAAGCAAGAAGCGGCAGGGAAGCGTGGGTGCTGGACCAGTGGATGGTCCCTGACCAGGTTGGGCTAATTCAGGGGGGCCAATTAAGAGCCTAATAATCCAAAAAATGACCTTAAAATTTTGACACGTATAATATATGACAAACGTGTTAGATGTGATTTAACTTGTTACTTATGAGATTTTCAGAGACTGGTTGAAGAGGCAAACCAAATTGCAAGCAAATTAGAAAAGCGTGGCAAATAGATGGGTCCATTTGGAACTGCATGTGCTGCATTCCCTTTGAAAAAAAAATCAATAATGCCTTTGACAGACTGAAGAAGACTATAAATAACCTTTCCATCTGGTTGGCCACCACAACAGAGTGGCCCGTACGGATCAAATTGAAAGCCTTTCCATGTCAAAACCCTAACCCCAGTTCCAGTTGCATAATATTCACTTTTTTTCTTTTCAATTCCCTTAAAAAAGAGTAGTTGGTTAGCTCAAAGCTGCCCACACATTATTTTTAATTAAAAAAAACCCATTTACTACGTACTAATTAGCGCTATTAATCAAGATTTTTTCAGCAAAAGTCCAAAAAGAAATCAAGAAGGAGACAAACATTATTAATTAGACAAAATTAAGACAGAAATGGAACGACGATATTGGGTTTTTTTTTATATATATAGAATAGAATTAATAGTGTTAGAATAACAGACTGTTATTCTCCAAAACAATTATCATTTTTTATAAAAGAATTCCTAATTTAAAAATAAAAAATTTAAATTTAAAAAATTACTGCATAAGCTACAAAATATTAAAATTATATGCATTCCACCCAGGATGATGACAGTGACAAGCTCACATGAGACCAATCAGATAATACATGGGGTCGCTTTGTATGAACTCAACTTAATATTCTCTCCCTCACTCTGTCATCAAAGAAAGATAGAGAGAAAGGCTCTGGTCTAAGAAAAAATTAAAGAGAGAATTTATTAAAGGAAAAAAACGAAAAAGGAAAAATACTACACTATTGCCTAACTGGAGAAGGTTCGAGGGAAGTCCTCCCTTGGAAATAATATCACACCAAATAAAACCTAGCTCTTTTCCTTCTTTTTCATTCTCTTCTTTCAAGGTCAACAACTGTCGATGAACTTGCAACGTTTCTTTGAAACGTCCATGGGGGTTTGTTGTACCCAAGTCTAGTTTTGATGTTTGGTTCCTGTTGGTGAACAAAGCACCGACTTTCTCATTGTACTGAGAGGTGAGAGGGAGCTTAAGGTAAACGCAAAAAACATTGCAACACAATCCCTTACTATTTCTCCTGGGACTCTCCCTAAATCCCGAATAGTCTTCAACCCTAGCAAAACCAAGAGAAGTGGTAGTAGTAAAACATGACACAGTTTCTGGTGTTCTAAATTTGTTTGTGTATTTGTTTATTTTTTTAATCTCAACTAGCCTAATTAGTCGCCACTTTTCTTCCTTTCTTTCTAGGTTTGTTTGGGTGATTTTTCTTTCTCATCTTTACCGTTTAGATCCCCCAGGAAAGGTCACAATTTGTGCTAAAAAATAATGGATTTTGGGTCATCAGGCAGAGAAGGGTTTGGTGAAGAAGAACAAATGGGTAAAGGTAAGCTCCCTTTTTCGTACTCTTCCTCCTCTTCTTCTTCACCTTCTTCTTCTTCTCAGCACAAAACCCAGCTGGCTCCTCTTAGCAACTCTAGGTGGGAGCAGCAGCCTCTTCAGATTCACGACAGCCACAACCAAATAAGTCCCAACTGGTTAGGCAACAGGTACGAACCTGAAGAAAATAACGAAGCAACTGTCACAGCAACTGCAAGTGAAGCTGATTCCAAACGCATAGACTCAGATTCAACCCTTGAGCTCAAGAGTAGTCTATGTGCCAACATCGAGAAAGAACACATGTTTGATAAAGTAGTCACTCCAAGCGATGTGGGGAAACTCAATCGACTTGTTATCCCAAAACAACACGCTGAGAAGTATTTCCCGTTGGATTCTTCCACGAATGAGAAAGGTCTTCTGTTGAATTTCGAGGACAGAAATGGGAAGCTGTGGAGATTCAGGTACTCTTACTGGAATAGCAGCCAAAGCTATGTCATGACCAAAGGCTGGAGCCGTTTTGTCAAGGATAAGAAACTTGATGCTGGCGATATAGTTTCTTTCCAGAGAGTAGTAGGCGAGTTTGGTAAAGATCGTCTTTTTATTGATTGGAGGCGGAGACCTGATGCACCAGACCCGGTTTCTTTCCATCCCCATCAACGCCACTTCTCTTTGCACCGGTCAATCCCGTGGAGACCATTGCTAATGCGGCCGCCACCAACAGGAAGAGACCACTTGCACTTGTCACCGATAAACCCTCTAAACAGAAATAGCTATTATGGTGGTTATCCAACTGGAAGCAATGTGGTGAATCCAGGACGTACAATGGGATCAGTATTTTATTTGAGACCAGCAGTGGCAGCAGCAGCCCCACAAATGGGAATGGGAATGATGGAGTGGCAGCAGCGAGGTGGAGTTGTAGAACCAGTTGTGTTCGATTCGGTGCCGGTGGTCCAAGGCAAGGCTGCAGCCAAGAGGTTAAGGCTTTTCGGGGTGAACATGGATTGCCCCATATCAGAGTCAGATGAATGTGAGATATTATCTGCAACTGCCATAGCAAATGGTACAATGGCATCACAGCCTCCCCAACTTTCTTCATCATCCCAGCATCCTTTCCAATTAAGGCTCTACAATGGCACCCCACTCCCCCCCACTGACTTTCTTAAAGCCAACAAAGGGAAGGCTTCCATGTCCTTTGATTTGGATATGTAACCGCAAGAAATCAATTTGGCAGACAGTATATTCAGCCACCAAGTTAATTGCCTTTGCCATAATCAACACCTGCCACCACCGTCACCACCAACAAACAACAACAAAATGCAAGAAGATAAGGATAGGAGAATTGCAAGGCTAGCTGCTAATCCGGTTCTTTTTTTCAATTTATCACTTCTTGATTCTTATGATCATATCCTTATCTATACCGAATAAAAAGAGAAGGAAGAACATTGATGGGTATTTGAGAAAAAAAAAATCATATTCCAATGTTGTTGTTTTCCAGCTTAATTAGATCAGAAGGGAGTTCAACGTTTGGGTGCCAGTGAAGATTTAGTTAGAGATGAGATGATCACAACCATAACCCAAGAGCCTTTTGCTTTTAACTTGTGTATAAAATAAAAAGGATTACGCATAGATAAATGAGACATAGATCCATCAAGCCTTAAATTTCATGTTTGCTTTTTGTAGGGCCTGGTCTCTTCTGAATGTATCCATTGTTTCCACTGAATTAGTTCCCAAGTATCTTTACTCTTTGGCTCGCAACTGCTCTCCCTCTTTCTTTCTCTTTCTCTCACTCTCTCTCTCTCCACTGTTGTTTAGTTAATAACAACCTTTCCTGATTCCTCAATAACCGATGAGCAGTGCGCTAACTATCTGATGTAAACCAAGTTTTTTTATCTCTTTTGTTTTTTACCTTGCTAGGTTGTTGTTCTTGTCGCTGCTTCGTTGGACAGTCCCGCAGGTTGTGCTGAGAAATTTGCAGGGCTTTTAAAAGGTAGGAGTAGTTATATCAATTTTCTTGGACCCTTTTTGTTTATTTAGTAATTCTATCTTGCCTGTTTAACCCCTTTATACGCATTAATATGTTTCTGTTTTGTTCTTTTCAAGTTTGAATGTTCCCTTTCTCTAATTTGCTGGTTTCCTCGATCACTTCAATTCACCGCATAGAGACATACCATTAACTCTCCCTTGGTGAACGCAGATGCCATCATAAATATAAAATTTATTTTAATTCTTTTTGTACGTAGTAGTTATCTGGTCAGCTTCCACTGCATGGTTACTTTTTCTTTTAGATGAATCTGTTTGAACCAAGATTTTTTTTTTTTTTTTTAATTTCCTTCCCATCCATTGCACGCATCTTTTGCTTTAAGTGCATAGTCCCAAGTAGTCGAGATATATATCAAGAATTGTGGATTTTTAGCATGTGGGTGTGTTCAGATAGCTATCATTATTACTTTTAGATTTCAAAGGTTCACAAAAATTTATTGCCTCAGCTGAAGTTGAGACCAGGACCTTTATCTTTCAGGTCAGCCACATGTTCTCACCTTTTTGCAAGAACTTATACCTATAATCCTTCAAAAGTTGCCAAAACAAAATTTAATGGCCTCCAACTTTGACAATATTGTAGCTTTTCTTTTTTTCCTATCCCACCAAATATTATTTCCAATCTCATTTTTTAAGATTGCAAGGATAGATGGTAATTTTGCAATACATTAATCCGTTTAGTCATTTGTGGAGAAGTAAACATGTTAGATATTCCTTCACTGCAAGTTGTACATTGCTGTAATAATTGATTGAAGCTGTTTGTGACCTTTTCCTACTTTGTTTGCTATGGCTTGAAATCTTAGATCCAAGGCCAAAAAAAAGATCTGTGAATCGATCCCTTGCAGCATGGGAGCACAAAACTTTTTTAACTTGATCTATACTGAAGAAATTAAGTTTATCCTCTATAGATTTCAAAGTTCATCATCAGTCCTCAACTCCTCATATGTGCTGAACAAAAAAAAATTACAAAATTATTCTTTAATAGTTAAATCTGTATGTAATTGGTCATATATGATAAGCTTTAGAAGAACTACACCTTTCTTAAAACAATTTTACTCGTTCAGACTAATTTTAGTACTCTATGAGAGTATGCATGTTAATCTGTACCTAGCACATCTCCTTTTTCACAATTCATTTATCAGATAGTTTATAAGATTTTCCAGACTTGCTCCTTTTATTTTTCTCAACATCAAACATGTAGATCAATAAGTTATCAATTCATAATTCTGCACTATCATCATATCTTTTTTTCATTGGTCACCATCTTTGTAATTCCCACACCCTGAGAACAGTCTTTGATCAAATTTCATTTGCATCTTGCTTTCTTGTTGTATCATTATGATGATCTTAGCCTCTGACATTCATCAAGTAACTAATAATCAAAAGTATCCACTCTATAATTTTGGGTTGTTACGAACCAACTACACCAGACTATTATTATAAATTTATGTAAACGTGAGAGGAACTGTTGTTCTTGCATGTTTTGGAATAGTCTTAGTTAAAATGCTAGAGTAACGTTTTATCTAAATGTGTCGTATGAATTCAAAAATCTTTGAAAATGTGGTTGGTTTTGTGATTTATAAAATAATAATAAAAAAAAAGAGAGGGAGAGGAAGGGAAAACCTAAATAGCTATAATAGCCTTAACAGTGTTCAAGAGATCAATGTTAATGAAATCAGAAGAAAATAGCATGTTCAGATTGGAAAAGAAAATATATAGTAACTGAATTATACTTCACGGAATTCCCTTTCAATTTTCTTTGGCAATGACTTTTTAGTACTGATCATCATCACTATATATGAGTAGAATTTTTTTTATTTTTTATTTTTTGGATAAATGATTTATCTATTCATCCAAAAGAGCAAAACAAGTCTGCTAAAAAAAAAAACTAGAGAACTGAGTTTTTTTACAGCAAATGAACCAACAAATGACTATTAAAGTAACTAATAAGTCCCCATGAACGACAAAGGCTAGGATTTGTAGGATTGGTTTTTAGTAAGGGCGAGTTTCCAATCTTCAACTGAATAGCCTCTTTTACAGAAGCAACAGTAGAGCAGCTCGTCGATGAGCACCTCCATATTTGCAATTATTCCGTTCTCTCCAGATGAAATAAATGCAAGCTGTTGAAGCAAGCCTAAGAATAATTGTAGCCAAGAACTTGCCTTTCAGATTACTTATTTATGGCCCATTGGAGCTCAAATTCCCAGTCCCCAACATTTCTAACTATGCCTGACAGTTGGAGAATGTTCCCCCAAACCTGTTGAGAAAAGGACATGAGAAAAATAAGTGATTCCTGCTCTCAGGAGCAAGACCACAGAGCAAGCAATCTGTAGCAACAGAAGAAGAGTTGGCCCATGTAGATGTGCGCTGAAAGGTAGGCAGCCTATCTAGTATCCCCATCCAGGCGATAAGAGAAAACTTTGGCATATGGGATGGAAACCAAATGATTCTATGCCAAGGAACTTTGTGCCTCCGAAGCCTAAGCATATTCCAAGCACTAGTAATAGTGAAACTACCACAGGCAGCAGCAGTCCATATAACAAGACTAGATGATAACACATCAGGACAAAATATTCCACAAATGGCAGCTTGGATTTCCACAAGACCATTAGAACGCGCAGGGAGCCAATACCAGTCACCATGAAAAATAACATCTGCCACTTTGAGTAGAAGGCAGACCAGAAGCAAGCAAAAGTGCAAATTATTAGACCATGTGAAAGTCTGCTTATCATTTCCAATGATATGCTTGTAATAAGGGTCTGGCTAACTCCCTAAGTGTCACGGACCTAAGGGGAGTCCTGAATCCCACATCGAACATAATAGGAAGGTCCCTGGGGTATAAAAGGGTTCACACCATCTCCGCCTTGTGAGGCGCCTTTTGTAGGACAAAACCGTGAGGCCAGGGGGCCAGAGCGGACAATACCTCACAAGGGTGTGAACCGTGGCGAAAGGCTGATCTGGGACGCCGGAAGGGTGAATGCCCGGGTCCCGGAGCCGCGCGGGTTCGGAGCTTGAGTCTCGACCCGTGACAAGTGGTATCAGAGCCAGCCCTAAACCGTTCGATCCACGCCAAGCACCTCGAGGGAGGTAGGCAGGGTGGCCGGCCTCCGTGACGAGGGCGTCACGAGGTTGGGTGCGGGAGAATGTCACGGACCTAAGGGGGAGTCCTGAATCCCACATCGAACATAATAGGAAGGTCCCTGGGGTATAAAAGGGTTCACACCATCTCCGCCTTGTGAGGCGCCTTTTGTAGGACAAAACCGTGAGGCCAGGGGGCCAGAGCGGACAATACCTCACAAGGGTGTGAACCGTGGCGAAAGGCTGATCTGGGACGCCGGAAGGGTGAATGCCCGGGTCCCGGAGCCGCGCGGGTTCGGAGCTTGAGTCTCGACCCGTGACACTAAGCGTGAGCAGTTTCCTCCAACTGCAGCTTTCAGGAGCAGAACTCTGCCAGAAACTCCTTCCGCTGAGCACCTAAGAATGAATCCAGGCAACCCAGAGTGAACCAGACCCGGTAAACACTGCCCATATATGCTCAAGGAACATGCCATATTCCAGGTAATAGGATTTTTATAACAAGGCCCCTTCAGAGTTGGGACGAAAACCAAATCCCATTGTACTCGAGCTCTCCCTTAGCAGAGCCAGCCTTCCCTTCCATAGAAAACTAGAACAAAGTTTGATCACCTCTTTCAAAACTTTCTAAGTTCTACTCCAGAAGTTTTGGATACTAAAAAGGACAGAGTTTAAAAGCTGCACTCTGCCCGCATATGGTAGGTTCCTCACTGCCCAGCTACCGATGATCCTAGCTGAGATTTTCTCAAGGAGTGGACTACAATCTTTCTCAGAAAGCTTACCTGGTTTGAGATGAAGTCCAAGATATCTCACTGGTAAAGTCCCATTCACGAAACCAATAGAGATAACAGATCAGAAAAATCGGAAGGGTCAAGACCACCACTGAAAATTTCATTCTCAGAGTTGTTAAGCTGCAGACCAGATAAACAGTAGCAGACATGAAGAATTTTTTGAGTGCAAGAACAGACTTTCTGTTACCAGCACTGAAAATTACCAAATCATCCGCAAAACATAAATGAGACAAGTTGCTGCGTTTGCGATGACAATCATATTAAGCTAAAGGGACTCAATCTAATCAAGCCAGCATAAACATAATCAAACCATCGAAATAATAATTTAACGTAGTTTGATATATTTCACTTATATCCATGGATAAAAAAAAATCTATTACTTATAAAAAATCACAAACATACATTAAATTATATCAACCACTCAACAACTAATATTCATAGATCCTCTCAATCTCTTCTAGTCCTATAGAATATTCTCAACCCAAACAAACATATACTCATATACATCCATACATCATACCTATGTGGACCATTTCAATCTCCACTAATCTACTTCCATGCAATATACTTATATGAACATATTCAGTCTCCTCTAGTCCACTCATAAACATTCAAACATACACGTAAATCTCAATAGTTTTATGCGATATCTATCCTATAAAACCTTATAACTCTTTTACATTTTTTTCTCATACCTAACTTTATAAAAACTTTAACTATTATAAGTATATTAATTTACCTATTAAAAATTCTTTTCCTCTTAAAATTTTTTTTTTGTAACTCAAACTTACCTGTTGAGAATTATTTTTCTCTTAAATTTTTTCTTCTATAAGTTTTTTTATTCATCACGTAATATTTAACGAATCTCAAATAAATCTCTTATAAGATTTGAGTCATTATTCTCAACAAGTCAAACAACTTCAAATCATCAGCAACAATGAGGAGTCTAGATAAAACATCCATCACCATCACAAACAAATAGGGGGCACAGGATCGCCTTGTCTCACGCCTTTAGCATCAGGACAATACCCCACTAAACCACCGTTAAGGCCAACCAAGAATTGAGCAGAACTGCAGAAGTAATTCAACCCCTGATCTATGCAAGGGAATTAATTTGGAGGAGTGCCAATAGACTGAAGAACTTTGAAAAGAAAATCCAAATGAACAGAATCATAAAAGCCTTTTAGGCAATCTAGTTCCAAAGCACATATCGGAGATAAATGCTTAGTATGATAGCCCCTCACCAATTCCTGGGCTAGGAGGACATTATCGACCGAACGTCTTCCTCCGATAAATCCACTTTGATTTATTTCTGCTTGCCCTAGAGGAAAGCAATACTCGATATCAGCTGCATTCAATAAATAGGTGTTCAT